CTTTACCATCTGTGCCACCAGGGAGAGGTTGGTAAATAGTACGGACTGCCAGCTATAAGATAAATAAGATCTGAGGACCTAATGTAAAACACTGTGACAATAGCTGATAACATTATAAAATTAAAATTTTCTAAGAGTGTGGAACTTAAATGTTCTCACACACACAAAAATAGATAAATATGTGAGTGAAGGATGTCTTAATTAACCAGATGGGGGCATCTTTTCAAAATATATATGTATATCAAATTGCTCACAGCATGTACTTTAAAAATCTTACTATATATTTGCCAATTATATCTCAATAAAGCTAAAAAAATGCAAAATAGTTCTCAAAAATGCAAAAAAAAAAGGCTTAATTACTCAACTAGACTAGGGGTATTCAATGAAACACTTTATAAAGCAGAATTATCATAGCCCAGTTGAATGTCTTCTTGGATTTTACCACTTTGGACACTAAGTTACTTTCCATCCACTAATTCTTTTATTCTCATCAAGGATTTAGGCACTATTATCATACAAAACAGGAAAGGATCAGAGAGATTAAGTAATTTTCCCCAAATTGCTTACTTAATTAAGCAACAAAACCAAGATTTGAATCAAGTTCTCTCAGACTCCTATGCTCTATCTACTACTTCAGATATAAAAATAATTAAATAACCATTTAATAAATGAAATATGCCAATCAACATATAGGCCTATTTATTTATAAATTATATGTATATATTTAGTATGTATACTAAATATTGAGAATTTGGGTTCTATCACTTAAACCAGACAAAATCAATATAAGTTCATGTCATTGATCTCAGGCTTATGATTATTTTGTAACTGAAGCCATATTTCTCAGTATATCCTCTGACTCACTTGGGGAACCTGTTAGGAAGTTAGGCCTCATTTCACACATCCTTAGCAATGCCTGCCTAGGGATCTGCGTTTGAGACAAGCTCCAGAGCAGATTCTTAGGCACATTAACATTTGACAGTCCCCATAGTAATTCTGTATTTGGTCATTCTAACTCCCTTATCAAGAGTTGTATTTAAATAATTTTCTTTTTAAAAAACGAAAACAAGTTGACCCAAGTTAAATAATAAATCCACAACACCCTACCTTGACCAGAACCAAACAACCTACTATCTTCTATATAGAATCTTAATTCAAAGATGACAAACCCAAAGATAAATACCATAGAATTTCACTTATATGTGTAATCTAAAAAAACAAAACAAATGGACAAACATAACTACAGAGAACAAACAGGTGGTTGCTGGCAGGGCGGTGGGGGGTGGGTGAGGGATGGGGAGAGGAGATGCATGAAATGGGCAAGGGAGATTAAGAGGTACAAACCTCTAGTTACAAAATAAATGAGTCATGAGGATGAAATGTACAGCCAATTATATTGTAAAATCTTTGTATGGTGACAGATGGTAACCAGATTTATCATGGTGATCATTTTTCAATGTATAGACATATCAAAACACTATATAAAAAGGAACAGTTCAAATGTTAAATTTTCAATTTAACATCCTATCCTCATGCACTTAGAACACTTCTATATTATCTCAAAAATTATTTTCTCAGTATGAATAACTATTTTAAAGTCTTTGATTATTACATTATCTTTAAAGGTGGAATATTTTCATTATTTTCTAGTTTTTTTCTTACAACATATATGATATCTCACATAGACCAACATGCTTTTTATATTTCTTTCAATTGCCAAATTTGTTAAACAATTTATTTATAGGCTGCATCTACTAACATGTTCCAAAATTTCCTAAAAATACATTTCTTTGTCTCATTCTAATAAAATCAAAATAAAACAAAAACAGGATGATTCGGGAAAACATAAAGCTTCTTCAGATTGGTGATATATATAAAGAGCAACGTGATATAAAATTTAGACACTTGACTTCTGAAAAATTTAGCTAAGTTACAAATTATCCAGGTTATGTAGTAACTCTAAAATTCAATAACCCTAATTTCTTATATAAAAAAAAGAAACTTAAAGATACAATAGTTTAGTGGAAATCTTAAACTCTTCCTGAAGAGTCACAACTACCAATTGATTAATTACTTCATAAGATCACCTCATGCGAAGAGTTGACTCATTGGAAAAGACCCTGATGCTGGGAGGGATTGGGGGAAGGAGGATAAGGGGACAACAGAAGATGAGATGGCTGGATGGCATCACCGACTCGATGGATATGAGTTTGAGTAAACTCCGGGAGTTGGTGATGGACAGGGAGGCCTGGTGTGCTGAGATTCATGGGGTCACAAAGAATCATACACGACTGAGTGACTGAATTAAAGATTATTATTACTATCAGCAGCAATGGATACCTAGCTCTATTAACATTAAAATTAATTGTTACCTAATTCAAATTAGCAAGAATTTGAACATAATATCCTGATTCCATTTAATACATGAAAAATTTGGTCTTTAGTTGCCTGAAAATACATCCATTTCATTTTTATCCTTCTGGTAGAGCTTTCCTCAGTTTTTTAATTCCTGAGAAAATCTGAACCAGGAAACAAACTAGTTTTATAATATAGAATCATATAAGAATTTATGATGAATGCTGGGCAATTAATATATAACAGATGAATTATCTAATCCAAATCATAAACTAGTCATATATACTCATAAATATGCTAGTCATTTATATAAATAAATGCATGCATTCATGTTAAGTTGCTTCAGTTGTATCCGACTCTTTGCAACCCCATGGACTGTAGCCTTCTAGGCTCTCCTGTCCAGGGGATTCTCCAGGCAAGAATACTGGAGTGGGTTGCCATTTCCTTCTCCAATATAAATACATTGTGTAACCCAAATCACAAGCTTATTCAATCATTCAATAAACACATTGAACACTACAAAACACGGGTACTGTCTAGGTTCTTGGGATGCATCAATAAATAAATTAAAAACCTTGTCCAATGGAGCTTGTATTTTAGTAGAAGATGATGATAAACAAGCAAAATAAAGGACCAAATTACATTGTATGGCAGAAGGTAACAAGTGCTATTGGATAGGAGAAAAATTAGGGCAGCATAAAGCATAGGGTAGATGATATTCTTAAATAGAGAGGTCAATGTAGGCCTCATGTGAGCAAAGCTTTGAACAAATTGAAAATAAATCATTTTTATTTTATAAATATGATCATACATAATCAAATACAACTCTTTCTAGAAATACTCCCTTACACATTAATTTTTCTGAGATAAATGCTCTTTTATTATTTATGTGTTTTCTCTTTTGTTAGATTCTCATCTCCTTGAAGAGAAGAACTGAGTCTTATTCATTTTTCTTTTCCAAGCCCCTGGTACTGTGCTTGGTACAATATTTGGAGAATGGAAATTGAATTGCTTAGTAAGATATGTTTAGAAAGAGCTTTGAGAATTCTGGCAATGGGATTTTCATCACTGGAATGAAAACAAACCACTGCCATATTTCTTCTCCTTGTTTCTTTAAAACTGTATATAAACCATATTCCATGAATCCCCAATTTTACAATTTTCTCAGAACTAGGAGAAAAATTGTCAATAGTGGAGTCCTAGTATGCATAGACAGAAATAGAGTAATTCTTAATTTTGTTTTTTATCTTAAATAACAATTAAAATATGTCTTAACACATGCAACCTATAAAAGTAATATGAAACAGTTAAGTAATTAAAAACCCAGGATCTTCAACCAATCTAACTTTTTAATAGTGTAAGCTAGACTCCAATGATTTTGAGTAGTAGGCATAATTCTTGGGTGTTTGGGCAATTACTCTGTTTCCCCATATAGGCCACTTATAACTTCATCACAGCTGAGATAAAGTGAGAATTCCTGGGTAACAGTAATAACCAGACTATATCACAAAAGGAAATCAAGCACTTTTGGAGGTAAGGTTGATAAAGTGAACTTTGAGAAACTGGTATCAGAGAGATGCAAAGAAATAATAATCCCAAAATAGGCATCAGGTTCTATGAACAAGAGTCATGAGAAGATCAGTGAGATACCATAGGACAGTAAAACAAAAAACATCACCAACAACTATGTCTCTATATCTGGATCTGGATCTATATCAGCAGCCATGACTACATGGATGAATACATGAGTCAGACACAGACACAAATCTCCTAAACTTGGTCTCAAAGGATTTCTCCACCATCCTTATGACACAAGATTGGAAATTAATACCAGAACTAAAACTGCTTTTTTAGTGTTTTATAGTATATAGCCTAAAACATATTCAAAATTAAAATAGCAAAAATTTCATAAAGGTCTTGGTCAATTCAGTAATTCTTAAGTAATGGTCATTCTAATTTTTTTTTATAGTAACTTAAGTTAAAGAATATCAGATTGATTAAGGATAAATTTTAGCTCTGGCTAGAGCTAACAATATGGCAGCCCTATAATCTGTGTTACTGTTGGTGTGTTAACTATTTGATAGGTATTAATTTTAAAAAATTGGAGTGAATTCTCTCAATCTAGATATCCAACGCAACAAAACCCCTAAACTCCTTTCTCAAAGGGGAGATTACTGCTAATTCCCTTCTTGCATAAATTTAGGTTTAAGCCCAAGAGTTGTCTTGAAAGCTCGTGAGCTCTGATTAACATTTTATACTTGGTTCCCATCTCTTGCTAAAAGCAAGACTGATATTTAAAAAGTGCTACAGAAGGTGCTAGGCACTTCGGTTTAAGTGCTGCATAGTATTGGCAGGACCAAATGTGATCCTCTGAATGTGTTTGACACAGGAACTCTTGGAATATGTACTGAGAATTTCTGAGAAATGTATAGACTATGCCTTGTAAATTACCTACATTTAACAATTTCAGTCTTTGCTCACACATCAGGAGTGGCCACTGAAATGATGACCAACTGTCCTCAGCGCCACCTGGACTTCAGTGGTTTCAGTAGAGCCAAGGGAGAAGGAATTTCCCTGCTTGGACAGGCAATCAATTCATAGAAGGGAGTAACAACCAATAAGCATCATAAATTTAAGTTACTTACTTTCTCCCAAGACAATACAAATTAACAGAAAATTCAAACAGCAAGGGTCTACTTTTCCTTTCAGTCCTTAACCTTTTTTAATACATAAAATTATCAAGTTTCCTTTTAGCCCTGTTAAACAAGGAATAAAGGAATTATTCCATAAGCCTGGAACCATTCCATATCCATAGTGATGGAACCATATCACAAGAGAGGAAGCATTCTCTCTCTTTGAATAAAAAAATCCTCACTTCATTGCATAGTGCACAGGTAAATATAGCTTTGAACTCAATTCTGCTTTCAATCTGGCTAACTTTGCAGTGACCTCTGGCAAATGACTACTTTTTTTGGTGCCCCTTTTAGCAGATAAAGGAAATGGCAATCCACTCCAGCACTCTTGCCTGGAGAATTCCAAGGACAGAGGAGCCTGGTGGGCTACGGTCCATGGGATCACAGAGTCAGACATGACTGTGCAACTAACTAACTTTAGCAGATAAAAAGAATACACAGGACAATCTTTTGACCCTTAGTTCATGGTTATAAAAGTACTCAAAGTTTAGGAAAAGGTGTGTTCTCTGACAAAATATTACTTTGGGTAAGCTCTTTTTGTAAATCATTTTGAGGACAAATACATTTTAGGAAAATGAAATTGTGTTAAGAAACTACAGCCGACGTGCTCAGTTCAGTTCAGTCGCTCAGTGGTGTTCAACACTTTTCGACCCCATGAATCGCAGTACACCAGGCCTGCCTATCCATCACCAACTCCTGGAGTTTACTCAAACTCATGTCCATNGTACAACTTAGAACAGGACACAGACTATTAAGCCTCAGCTGGCTCATTTGTAGAGTGAACATTATAGCTGCACCTGTCTCATAGGGTTATTGTGAATCTTAAATTCAATCATGGCATAAAGATAGCAATTTATAGCTACTTTCCTTATGGTATAGAAATCAGCAGGAATGAACTGCTACAGTTTTATTTACTTCCTTTCCTCCTTCTTGCCCCTCCTTCACCCTCCCCTTCCCCTTTCCTCTTCCTCCTGAGGTTAGCCTGAATCCCTCTCTTTCTGGGGCAAGGTTGGGATGCAGCACAAGGATGATTTCCTTTGACAGTGACAGGGCTCAGGACAAGCTCCCCGTTCACATCTTGATGTGCCTGCCTGCGTGCTCAGTCACTTCTCTTGTGTCTGACTCTTTGTGACTCCGTGGACTGCAGCTCATCAGGCTCCTCTGTCCATGGAATTCTTCTGGCAAGAATACTGGCATGGGCTGCCATGCTCTCCTGCATGGTCCATTCACATTTTGGAAGAGTGAATATCTTAAGTGGAAGGTGTTAGAGAAAATGGCAGGTCAGCCTGAACTCTCCCAAACCCCTCTCTGACAGTTCAGAAAACCCTCATGTCAGAGGTGCTTTTCCTGTACCAGGAAGAAAGACACATCCCTGTCTCTGAAGACAGACGGATGCCAAGGAATACTCTGAGCAATAGACCCTGCTGAGTTCCCTCCGTTACTACACTGACCTCAATTAGCCCACTCCTCCAGGACTATCCACTCTTCCTCAAACCTGGCATGCAATACTCAGGTCTAACTCCTTCTTTGGATCTTCATTTCCTTATGAAATCTCCTGTGTCAGGTAAAGCTCTTAATATTAAATAAAACTGTAAGCTTTTCTCTTATTAATCTGTCTTGGTCAGTTTAATTCTCAGACCCAGCATAAGATGGACCCTGAAAGTGAAAGTCGCTCAGTCATATCTGACTCTTTGCGACCCCATACAGTCCCTAGAATTCTCCAGGCCAGAATACTGGAGTGGGTTGCCCTGTTCTCCTCCAGGGGATCTTTCCAACCCAGAGATCAGACCCAAGTCTCCCACATTGCAGGCAGATTCTTTACCAACTGAGCCACAAGGGAAGCCCAAGAATATTGGAGTGAGTAGCCTATTCCTTCGCCAGTGGATCTTCCTGACTCAGGAATCCCCTGCATTGCAGGTGGATTCTTTACCAACGGAGCTATCAGGGAAGCAAGAGGGACCCTAAGAGGGTTGGAAAAAAATTTTTTTGGTTTTTTTTTATGTGTGTAAACTTAAGCTCATTGCTGGAAATATACCACAGAAAAGGAAAGCAGAACTAGCAAGAAGGAGGAGAGAGACTTTTCCCAGGCTGGGATGAGTCCAGAGATCTATGGGTTCCAAGAGGAGCAGGATCCTGAGCCCATATCTACTGCCCTGGCAGGTGGTGGCATAGCCTTTCTAGGTACTTCCGTGGTACTCCTCATAGGTGGGACCCACGCACCCAGACTCCCAGCCTTGAAACATCCCCACAACCAGGCTTGACACAGAAATGCTAAGACTGCCTGCCTGGCCATTTTTATGAAGTTTATCATAGCTGCATAAAAGGGGACCAAAGAACACAGAGGCTGCTCCCCATTTTCCGGAAAGCACACAGAACTCACATGCTTTTAGGTGATCCCAGCAAAGAATAAAACTGAGATTTTCTAATGAGTTTGGCAGGATTGGGTTTGGTATATAATTTAATTTGATTTAAAGATGATAAAGATATACAACTTTTTTATATTGGGTTCAACATAGTGTCTGGCAAATAGTAAGCATGTAATTAGTGATACCTACTATTATGGCATTTTTAACCACTATAGAAAACATTCTTGTTTCTTTAGTCCTTCTAAAGTATTAGCTGTTTGAAGACTGCTAGGTTTTGTGTGCTCCATTAACCACCAGTATCTGAGTAGTTCATGTGTTTTGATGTATTGTAGAAAGGATGTAATATCCAGACTGCAGCACAGCAGGAATGTATATTAAGATATGGACTGGAAATTTTCAAATATCTGGAGCTATCACCTCATTGTCAGCTAAGATTTCTGTTCATGTGCTGATATGAGTGAGACAGAGTCCATATGAAAATTTCAGGGCAAAGCAGCTATGAAATGGGTTTCTTCAATCTCTCCCACCATACCGTTGAGCTTGGAGGCTCGATACTGGAACAGAAGTCATTATATGGAGGGAATGGAATAAACCCACAGAGGTTCTAACCAAGTCCAAGTCTAACCTAGCTGCAGGAAACCTCACTTAACTTGCAGATCTTTGCATTAGTGTAAGTAGCTTTTTGCAGGAAAAGAGCTCTTTGCAGGAAGGAGCTCTCTGCAGGAGGCCTCTTTTGTCTTATCACTTTGGCAAAGCTATATTTTAACTAACTGCCAGCATAAGCTTTCAGATCTTTTGATCACACAGCACTTTGCCTAACCTGTTAGTTCTTTCCTTAGAACAAAGAAACAGAAATGAAAAATAAGTAATTAAAAGATGAGCACATCTTTTCCTCAGCTTCCCCTTTAGTACTCTCATGAACTAACTGTGAACAAGATAACATCCAAAGAAAGATGACAAGGGTCAACAAGCCTACACATTTGTGACACAAGTCCACCGTCTCTCAAGATTGCTGGCTTTCTGATAAAAACAACTTTTCCATTTCTACCAACAGTTGTCTCTCATACAGAATTTTGAGCAGCCCGACCTGACTTTGGTTAACATTTAGTTCAGTTCTGTTGTTCAATCATGTCCGACTCTTTGTGATCCCATGGACTGCAACACATCAGGCCTCCCTGTCCATCACCAACACCCGGAGTTTACCGAAATTCAGGTCCATTGAGTCGGTGATGCCATCCAACCATCTCATCCTCTGTCGTCCCCTTCTCTTCCCACCCTCAATCTTTCCCAGCATCACCGTCTTTACAAATGAGTCAGCTCTTTGCATCAGGTGGCCAAAGTATTGGAGTTTCCGCTTCAACCAGTCCTTCAAATGAACACCCATGACTGATCTCCTTTAGGATGGACTAGTTGGATCTCCTTGCAGTCCAAGGGACTCTCAAGAATCTTCTCCAACACCACAGTTCAAAAGCAACAATTCTTCCGTGCTCAGCTTTTATAGTCCAACTCTCACATTCATACATGACTATTGGAAAAACCATAGCCTTGACTAGAGGGACCTTTGCTGACAAAGTAATGTCTTTGCTTTTTAATATGCTATCTAGGTTGGTCATAACTTGCTTTCCAAGGAGTAAGTGTCTTTTAATTTCATGGCTGCAATTATCATCTGCAGTAATTTTGGAGCCCCCCAAAATAAAGTCTGACACTGTTTCCATTGTTTCTCCATCTATTTGCCATGAAGTGATGGGACCGTATGCTATGATCTTAGTTTTCCGAACGTTGAGCTTTAAGCCAACTTTTTCACTCTCCTCTTTCACTTTCATCAAGAGGCTCTTTAGTTCTTCTTCACTTTCTGCCATAAGGGTGGTGTCATCTGCATATCTGAGGTTATTGATATTTCTCCCGGCAATCTTGATTCCAGCTTGTGCTTCTTCCAGCCCAGCGTTTCTCATGATGTACTCTGCATATAAGTTAAATAAGCAGGGTGACAATATACAGCCTTGACGTACTCCTTTTCCTATTTGGAACCAGTCTGTTGTTCCATGTCCAGTTCTAACTGTTGCTTCCTGACCTGCATACAGGTTTCTCAAGAGGCAGGTCAGGTGGTCTGGTATTCCCATCTCTTTCAGAATTTTCCACAGTTTATTGTGATCCACACAGTCAAAGGCTTTGGCATAGTCAATAAAGCAGAAATAGATATTTTTCTGGAACTCTCTTGCATTTTTGATGATCCGGCAGATGTTGGCAATTTTATCTCTGGTTCCTCTGCCTTTTCTAAAAGGCAGAACGTCAGCTTGAACGTCTCGAAGTTCACGGTTCACGTATTGCTGAAGCCTGGCTTGGAGAATTTTGAGCATTACTTTACTAGCGTGTGAGATGAGTGCAATTGTGCAGTAGTTTGAGCATTCTTTGGCATTGCCTTTCTTTGGGATTGGAATGAAAACGGACCTTTTCCAGTCCTGTGGCTACTGCTGAGTTTTCCAAATTTGCTGACATATTGAGTGCAGCACTTTCACAGCATCATCTTTTAGGATTTGAAATAGCTCAACTAGAATTTCATCACCTCGCTTCTGACAGTTCCTGAGAATTGTACTGTCAGCACTCCTCTATCGCCCTCACCCAGGGATGTAAGAAACAGAGAATCACAGAAGAGAAATCCCTGCTAACATAGAATCACTAATAGTTCAAACATCCAAATTCTCAAAAAGAAAAATTTTAAGACCTCTATCCCCATTACTGCTCAAGTTACTCTTTTTGAATACATTTTAATCTCTTTATTGGACCTGATTAAAGTATAACAAGAAATGTCATTTTGCCAAATGTTTCAAAATTAGCAACTGTTTTGAAATGAACACTGAAAAAGCTTCATGTTAAAGTAAAATCTCTTTTTTGTTCCATAGAACAGCTCCTTGACTTAAAAAACCCAGCTTGAAAAAATCTGACCTGAACAAACAGGTAGGAAAATAGATGCACAGAAAGGTAAGTAACTTGCTAAAAGTTATCTGGTTTAGTGGAGGCAATGTTCTGTCTCCAGAGCTGTGTACTCAACCACTGTGTTATGCATTTCTTTGACTTTACTTGTGTTCCACTTTTCTAAGCTTCTTATTGCCCATTGTTATACTCTCAGAAATTATGTAAAGTTCTTAGAATGTTAAACCTTTGATATATACTTGTTTCAAACACTTCCTTCAGTTTTTTTCTTCATCTTTTACATTGTTTATATATTTTGAAGGTTAAAAATGTTTTTTGTTATTCAACAACTTTTTAAGTCAATATCTATCAGCATTTTGACACTTTTAAACTATTCTTTAGGTTATAGAAATACTTATTATTTGCTTTTGTAATTTCCTTCCTTTCTTTTTTTCCTTCCTCCCTTCATCACTGGTGTTTTTTTAAAAATATTATGAAAACAATAGACTGCATATATATTTTTTCAAACAATATCACATTCCCTTCCAATCCCACTCCCATCCTAGAGACTCTAGCAGACTGGAGGCGGTGGTTAAAAGTTACTTTTCAGCTTTTTACCACAGTTGTTCATCTGTTGAATGCTCATGTATTTTGAAAGGTTTAGTAAGTAATATTAACATATTTTATAGTCTTGAATTATCACCACTTTACTAGAACTAACCCAACATTGATATGATATATTGTTCTTTTAATATACCATGCGACTTAAGAATTTTATTTTAAAGTAAGAAATTTCCTGTAGGCCATTTTAACATGTAACAAATCATAAACCTCTTAACCAAATGGCTTTAGGTCAAGTGATTTAAGTGACTGACTATATATTCTGAGTCAATTTTTGATCAATTAGAAGTAAAAGGAAAGAAAGAAATTCTAAAGTTATAAGTGAAAAAGGAAATCTGCTTTACAAAATTTGAGCTACACACATTTTCTGTGTACTGACTAGTTATGAATGTAACTATTTGGGGGCCAATTTCCTGAGGTAAGCACTTAGATGAGCCTTTCACACCAAACACCTAGAAATTTTAAATAGTTGAGTTTACTAAATCTTTAATTTACAGAACAAGCACAGGGAAAACTGCTTTAATCCAAAAAGAATAATGTTTTACAAAGAAAATGGACACAAAGTATAGTATTGGCTTGGAGACATCAAAATTTCATGGACATCTTCTAACCCTCTTAATTGTTGCTTTATGTTGAAATTGGTCATTCTATCAGGTAAGTGGTCTGTTACCTTGGCATAATAAAGGCTAAGCTAGCCAGCACTTTCCAAGCCACCTCCTGTTGTTGTATTTCTCCGATTTTGTTGCTGTTGTTGAGTCATCCAGTCATGTCTGACTCTTTGTGACCCCATGGACTGCAACATGGCAGGTCACCCTGTCCCTCACCATTTCCTGGAGTTTGCCCAAGTTCATGTTCATTGCATCAGTGATGTCGTTCAGCCATCTCATCCTCTGACGCCCTCTTCTCCTGCCCTTGATCTTTCCCAACGTCAGGGACTTTCTAATGAGTTGACTGTTCCCATNGATCCTAGTTTTTTAATATTTAGTTTTAAGCTGGCTCTTACACACTCCTCCTTCACCCTAATCAAGAGGCTCTTTAGTTCCTCTTCGCTTTCTGCCCTTAGAGTGGTATCATCTGCATATCTGAGGTTGCTGAACTTTCTCACACTTATCTTGATTCCAGCTTGTAATTCATCCAGCCTGGCATTGCTCATGATTTGCTCAGCCTATAGATTAAACAGACAGGGTGACAGCAGACAGCCCTGTCATATTCCTTTCTCAATCTTGAACCAATCAGTTGTTCTGTACAGGGTTCTAACTGTTGCTTCTTGACCTGCATACAGGTTTCTCAGGAGACAGGTAAGATGATCTGGTATTCCCATCTCTTTAAGAGCTTTTCACATTTTTCCATTTTTCTGATGGTCCATTCAAATGCTAAGCCTAGTTTAGTAATCTGAGTTAGTTAGACTAGTTGCTAATTACAGCTGTCAGATTATTCAATATTTTAATACATTCAGGCTGTCATGGCAAAATACCACAGCCTGGGTGGCCTATAAACAACAGAAATTTATTTACCACAGTTCTGGAGGTTGGAAGTCCTAGATGAGGGTGTCTACATGGCCAGGTTTTGCTTTTGGTGAGAGCCCTCCTGCTGGCTCATAGGTGGCCATCCGTCCCTTGTGGTGTCCCATGGTACAAGAGGCTGGGGGGATCTATGGGACCTCTTTTATAAGGACACTAATTCCCATCTCCTAGTCATCTCCAAAAGCTTCACCTTCTAATTCAATCACTTTGGGGGTTCACATTTCAACATGCAAATCTGGGGGAACATAAACATTCAGGCCATTGAATTCAGTTACATGAAATGGCCAGATGACTGTTGTTTACTTTCCCTTGGGGGGAGAAGGAATGAGAGGGTGAAGAAGCAGTTTAAGTTAAGGAATACTTAGAGCTCAACTTCTCAAAAAATTGAAACTTTCCAGACACATGGATACATTTCTGGATTTTTGATTAATAGCTGTCCTTTTATTTACTCATAAACTCTGGGAGAAAAACAAATTAAAAAAATAATCTGGAAGCTTCAACTTCAGTTAGTTTACTGAAAACTTTGATAAACCAGTGTCATCATGCCAAAGAACATACCTTTTATGGTATTGTGATTGATGGATATGCATTTACTAAAGTTGGTGCTAAAAGACTCACAGTCATCATTTAAACAGGATTTATTTCAGTTAGAAACATAAGGAGGTGCATATAGTTTCCTCTTAGAATGATGTGCTATGCTGTACTATGCTCAGTCATGTCCAAGGACTGTAGCCTGCCAGCTTCCTCTGTTCATGGAATTTTCCAGGCAAGTATACTGGAGTGGGTTACCATTTCCTCCTCCAGGGTATCTTTCTAACTCAGGGATCGAACTTATGTCTCTTGCATCTCCTGCATTGGCAATCAGATTCTTTACCACTGAGCCACCTGGGAAACCCCTTAGCATGATGGGATGGTGGTATTGTGATCTCCTGGTGTGATATTATCAGTACAAATTTAGTTGATGGAATGAGAAAAAAATTTTTGAAGAGGAAAGCAAATAGAAGAGGGAGAGTATAATAACAAAGAGAACTTCTAAACTCATTCCTTTAAAACATAAGAAAATATTTTAGAAATCATGTGTTGAAAATTGTTATGGGCTGAAACTAGTCCTCATAAATTCATGTTGAAGGGCCAGGACCTCAGAATGGTATCTGGATTTATGTCTGGTATCAGAAGTATATCTGGAGACAGGGCTTTTAAAAGGTAATTAAGATAAAATGAAGCCATTCAATTAGGCCCTAATCCAATATAACTGGTGTCCTTCTAAGAAGAGGGGACATGAACACAGACACACATAGAGGGACGATCATGTGAAGATACAGACAGAAGATGGCCAACGACAAGCCAAGTTCAGAGAGACCTCAGAAGAAACCAACCTAGTCAACACATTGACCTTGGACTTCCAGACTTCTAGACTACAAGAAAATAAATTTCTGCTGTTTAAGCCACCCAATTTGAAGTACTTTCTTATGATCACCCAAGCAAACTAAAGAAGCAAAGTGTATACGCATCTGAGATAAAAGTGAGAAAGTGTAAGACTCTAAAAAAGGAGTGATATGAAACCACACTTGACTCCATATTCCTTTCCTCCCAATGAAATTTCGTTTTCTTGCTGACTGGTGTTGTAAATCTGGAGTTGGTGTAGCGCTGAATGGTGTCATGGAGAGGGAGGGGCCAATTACATCACCATGAGAGTCAACACGAGCCCTGAAGCGGCCATGACTGCGGCTCCAGGCCAGGGTTTCCAGGGCTCCACCTCAGGGCGCTGAGGCAGTCTTCTCTCAGCAGAATGAGGATGCTGAGGATGTAGTACTTTGTAGAAGGAAACTCAATCTTAGGAAGATCTGTAGGAGATTAGAGGAAGATCAGCGCCTTGGTGTCTTGCCCATGTCAGGGTTTACATTGCAGGGTTCCCTTTGGTGGGATTCAAGACAGGCTACTCCAAAATACGATACCTTGACATATTAAGTATTTTAAGCTCAGGGAGTTGGAGAAAACAGCAGAAGCAACATCACTCTAATTATGTCCCCACCCTCTTTCCTAAAACAGATCATAAATCCCCCATGTGAGAGGTGTCTTCCCTATTATCTGGAAGAAAGGAGCATCTTTGCCTTTGAATACAAAGGATGCCAAGAAGAATCTGAATGGCTAGGACTTGTAAGTGTTCCCAGTTTGCTATACTTACCCATAATCCTTCACCTAGCCTACTGCTCCATGACTCCATGACTATTCACCCTTCGTCAAAGCTAGCATCAAATACTCAGGTCGAACGGTTTCTTTGAGTCTTCATTTCCTCACGAAGGCTCCCAAATCACATAAAACTTATAATAAATAAATGCGCATACGTTTCTCCTTTTAATCTGTTTTCGTCCCTTTAATTTTCAGATGCAGCCAGAGGCCCTGAGGAGGGTCAAGGAAAACTTTCCTTCCTTACACCTTGGTAGAGCTTTCTGGACTTGAAACTCCTCCAAGAGAGACAGCTTCCTCAACTCCTGCCCTTATCAAGAACCACTGCTGCATAGTAATGACCAGTAAGGGCTCCTCCCTTCTTTCCAAAGACACCATCAAAGGCAGATGGACTTAGGAAGAGAGGGTGTGTTTCAGTTTTTAGGTAACTAAGTCAGAGCAGTACCCGTTGGAAAAAGGTATTTTCTTCTGACCCTGCTATGCATCTGTTTAAATCTTTTTCTATTAAGAGTGAAGCTTGTCTTTGTAAAAACAGGAGTCTTGCAATATAGTTAAGCTGGTGTGACCTTCAGTGATCTGCCAGTAGATGTTGGTCTCATTAAACAAGTTATTTGGCAAATATGTTACAATATTATCTGCTCATGCTGAAAAGCAAATATAAAATGGGTGTCTGTGCATAAGAAAAGAGAATAAATGGAGCCTCTGACAAGGCAACTGCTTTATCAAGCATTCTGTGCCTCCTACCTGTTTTGCATTTTCAGATGCAGAAATCTAGGTTATTATAGCTTCCAATGGTGTTAGTAAAATATAAGTTCCTGACGCATGTTTGCTTATAATGAAATATAGGTACTTATGCATATTTGCTTTAAGCACATTTGGAGCAAACAGTTATTTCCATTTAGGTTTTGCTGACACTTTTGCAAACAGTGGATCCTCACATGCAACAAACTTTCCACGAAGCTCAGCAAGATCACCAGAAAATTGCAGCTGATGGCATCCTTTCTTGGTTCACTCATTTTCATGTTTCTTGCACCTTTTTTGTGCTTCCTCATACAAATTTTGACTATTTAATTCAAATTGGGATTAAGGTTCTGACTAGATGCCTGCTTATAATGGACACTAAAATACCACTGATGCAATAGAATCTCCTCAGAAATACAATGAAATTAAGAAAATGATATTCATGATACTGATCAGAATTCTTCCTGGGACTCTACTATTGCAACTCTTCAGGAGTAATGCACAGTTGTAGGTCCCAGGCTGTCTTTCAGAAGGGTGGTACTGGTGGTATGCAGGATTTTATTTTGTGCTGAGTGGGGTATGTTAGTTTGGGGCCAAATGGAATAGCTACTGGTAATAAAAGAAGGGTCAGACTGCAGCAGTAGTGTATTATGATCTGCTCTTATGTAGCATTTAGTACCACTTCACTATGACTATCATATCAATCATATCATGTTGATATGAATGAATCAATTCATATCATATCAATATGAAAAATATATATGTACAATACAGGGTTTCCCTTGTGGCTCAGTGTAAAGAATCTGTCTGGAATGCAGGAGATGTGAGTTTGTTCCTGAGTTGGGAAGATCCCCTGGAGAAGGAAATGGCAACCCACTCCAGTATTATTACCTGGAGAATCCCATGGATAGATGGGATTTCAAGAGTCAAGCACAACTTAGGGATGAAATCACCACCACCATATACAATATGATAGAATTATGGAGAAAGAAGAGTGAACTGGCTGATCACAAGGAACCCAAATAGCACATAAACATGAAAAGATGCTCCACTTCACTAGTTATCAGAGAAATGCAAACTAAAACCATAGAGACATTGTTCCACAGTCATCACATCATCAAAATGTTAAAAGCCCAATCATCTTAGGACACACAGCAGACATTACATCATTCTCTATGATTTTTGGTTTGTTTGTGACACATTTCAACGTAAGTGGATTTGAAAAAAAACAGAATATTGATTTGAAGGGATCAAATACATGATACATTATACATGTATACATATCTTTCTGGTTTCCTGTCAAATTCCAAAAATAGAAAGTTAGAGATTTTATGTTGGGCTGCTTGTCTTCACGATCCTTAAAAATAAGGCTAAAATTGTTAAGTCATGTGCTTTGGGGTTAGGTGAGAAATTAAATAAAAGTGTTTGACAGAAAATAACAAAATTCTGTAAAATAATTATCCTTCAATTAAAAAATATTATTTTAAAAAATTGAAAAAAATAAAGATACAAATAGGAAATTATTGCAGAGACGACACTATTTGTTCACCATGCGTCATTCTGTCTACTTTTTGTGCACACAGGAAGGCTCCAGTTACACCCTTCCTGCTACAACTTGAGAGCATGTGGCTGAGTTCTGGCTACAGCCACATGTACACCTGATATAAAATGCTTGTGTCATCTTCTACTCTGTCTTTCCCTGTCCATTTGTCTGGAAATGAAGGCCCATGAGATGGCAGAAGGAAAACAAAAAAAGAATACTGAAGCTGATTCCCTCACTGCCCATGTGGGTCTGACTCTCTGAGTCACCATGTGGAGTGGCTCCTCCTGGGAAAGCAAGATAACCAGGAGCATCTACCGCAGAATCCTGCGCGCATGTAAGAAATACATCTCCTTGTGTTACGCCACTGAGATTTTGGAGCTACTTTAGTCACAGAAATTAGTCTATTTTGACTTACCCAGTAATTGCTCAGACTAAGACATATTCTTTTAAATGATCCAGGAAGTCCTTCAAATGTGCCAGAACAGTCATCATCTGAGAATTATTTACTAGTTAGGCACTTCAAATAAATGGCTTTGGAGCAACTCCTCCCAGGAGGAGTTCCTCCCTGGAATGTGACATGCTTTCTGAAGAAATGATATAAAAGTTGGAGAAGACAGAAGATTTTTGAATTCTACTGTACACATCTTGGGGTTTGATCTCAGAATAAACTTCCTAATTCCTTTCATGTGTTTTATGTGGACGAGTCATTTCCAGGGGTCTGGGACTGCTCCTTCCAGCAGTGGCAGCTCACCCAAATACACCTATCTGGTGAGCTGACTGATATGACTCCTTAGATTTTATCACTGTTGCTTTTGGATTATACTTGTGACTAAGGCTTGGGGTTGTAGCTATGACTTATGTTGAAGGGGTTTCATTTTTCAAGCAGGGTAATAAATAAGATGAGATGCAGTAAATTTTTGAGGACACATCTGAGCAAATCACCCCCAAAATGAGACAGTGAGTGGAGCACAGGCCACTTGAGACCAGATGGAAGTAACCACGTGAGGGTAGATCATGGCATCATCCTTCATTCCCCTCTTTCCCTTTATATTTAATCTGTCAGGATGATTCTGTGGTCCTTCTTTCAAAACACATCTTAAGTCCATCTCCCCTCCTGGATTATTTTAATATATCTGGACTGTTCTGCCTGTGTCTGCCTTTGCTCATGGTTTCCCGTGTCACTCTGATAAAGTCAACTTCTCAAAATGGCTTCCAGGTCTTACATTATCTGTGGCTTTCTCTCGCGTCAACCCTCTTCTACCTCATCACCGACCTCACCCTAGCCTTTGTTTTGTTCCAGCCACAGTGACTTTCTTGACGTTTCTAGAACAAATCAGACATCATGTACCTCAGGGCCTTTCATTTGCAGGTCCCTCTGTTTGCAACACTCTTCCCTCATTTATCCACATGGGTGACATGTCCTCAAAGGTCAGTGAGGGCTTCCCTGATGCCTTGAATCTAGCAAGTCTTTTCCTCAGCACCCCATCCTCTGGACCACAGACTTCTCTCCACCTCCCAACAGGTGCTTCCTGGCTTTTCCTACTTGTATTATTTTCCTCTGTAGCACTTATTACCCTCTGATAATCTTTTTTTTTTTTTTGTCTCTCTCATGGTTTCTGGTTACCATTGTAACCATTATTAAGTACACAATTCAGCAGTGTAAAGTATATTCTCATTGTTTAACAATGGACATGAAAAAAAGCAGAAAAGCTGTCTAGAACTTTATCTTCTTACAAAACAAACTCTATCCTCAGTACCTTTCTACTTTCATTCCATGATTTCGACTTCTTAAATACTTCATGAGTGGAATTATACAGTATTTGTCCCTTGTGATTGGATTGTTATGCTTAGCATAAAGTCTTTGAGGGGTATCCATGTTGTTATATGTGACAGAATTTCTTTCGTTTTTAAGGTTGCATAATGCCATTGAATAAAGGCAGCTATAACAAAATACCACAGACTGGGTGGCTTCTAAGTGACAGAAATTTATTTCTTCTAGTTCTGGAGGCTGGAAGCCCAAGAACAAGATGCCAGCAGATTTGACTCTGATGAGGACCTACTTCCTAGTTGCTTTGTAACTGTCCTCTTGCTGTGTCTTCACGAGGCAGAATGGACAGGGACACGGGGCCTCTGAGGGCCTGTTTCCATTTGTGAGAACTCAGTCCTTCTCACCAGTGATCCCCAACCTTTTTGCACCAGGGACAATTTTCGTGGATGACAATTTTCCCACGGACTGGGGTGGCGGGATGCTTTCGAGATGATTCAAGCACATTATATTTATTTTGCACTTTACCTCTATTATTATTACATCAGTTCCACCTCAGATCATCAGGCATTAGATCCCAGAGGCTGGGGAGCCTTGCTCATGAGCTAAGCACCACTCAAAGGCCCCACCTCCAAATACCATCACATTGAGGTTAGGATTTCAACATATGAATTTGGGGGTCACATTCAGTCCATTGCAATCATTTTTGCAGAAATATTACCTAACTGGCATTGCAACCTTAGAGCATCCTCTGAAGGGCGCATATGTCAGTTTGTCCCAAATGTAAAAATTAAATTAACCCCAGGCTTAGCAAGGGCTCAGTCTATAGGCAGTCATATGCTGCTGTGTACAAATTTTACAAATGTTGTCCATATCATCAAATGAAAAAACTGCATGAATTTTAGATACCATATTTAGCAAATAGATCTTTACTTTTGGAAAAAATAAGGTCAATTGTTTGCCCTCCCCTCTGGCGGAGAAGAAATGGAAAAGCTTGCCAAGCAGACACTGTGAACACTGGTTTAAAGAATTATAAATTTGAGATTCTGAACACTGCAGCAGTTTTTGTCATTATTGTCCTTGGACAAGTCATTTAGTTGCTATTCACCTGGTTTCATCTCCAAAATGATGGAAAATCATGCTTACTGTTCACCTAATCTTCCTCACAAAGACACTGGCGGTCCAGGCCACACAAAGGTATTCAAGAAATTACCAACTTTGCAATTCACATGAAAGATACACAGAGGGGCAACACTCTAGTATTATGCGGTTTTCATAATTAGCTTAACAGCAGTCCTTGGAAGCTGCAATTTCAATATACTGTACATTTCTTAAGGCATAAATGACAAATGAGACAAGGACAAGTGTATCAGCAGGAGCTGATAGAACACTTATCTTCAAAATCTCCCCTACATTGAAAAACCTGCCATCTTAAATACAACCTTGTAATTAAGATGAAGTCCTTTTTATTAAGAAAAATTAACGATGGGTCTTTCGGACAAGAGTGGTTTGGCATGGACAAAAAAAAAAAAAGTGCTGAGAACTTTAAGATGGCAGAAGTAGAACATTTAACCAAGTGTTGAGCCCTTTTCAGTGTGGAGCTATGTGTGAAAGCANCTATGCCTTCCTGTGCTGTGCTTAGCCGCTCAGTCGTGTCCGACTCTTTGCGACCTCATGGACTGTAGCCCACCAGGCCCCTCTGTCCATGGAGATTTCCCAGGCAAGAATACTGGAGTGGGTTGCTATGCCCTGATCCAGGGCTATGCCTTCCTACTTGAAGATTTCCACATCCTTTCTTCTATGACTATTTTGGTTTCTTTTCTTAAAGTTATTCAACTCTCATCCCACTCCCCAAAGAGACAACTGAGCACAATTTTTCAGCTTTTAAACATAAAAACTTGAGGGCTGTCTATCCTCAAAACAATCCATAAGAAGTGCAAAAATTCCTAAAGACATACAATCAACCGAGATTGAATCATGAGGAAACAGAAAATCTGAAGAGATTGATTACTGATAAGGAGCTTGAATCAGTAATCAAAAAACTCCCAACAAACTGAAGTCTAGGACCAGATGACTTCATTGGTGAATTTTACTAAACATTTTAAAAAGGTTTAATAGCAATCCTTCTCAAACACTTCCAAAAAAAGAAGAGAAAGAAACACCTCCAAACACATTTATGAGGCCAATACTACCCTGATACCAAGACCAGACAAGGACACCACAAGAACGTAAAACTACAGGCCAATATCTCTGATGAACATAAATGCAAAAATCCTCAACAAAATATTAGCAAACCAAATTCAACAATATGTTAAAATGATTATATACTATGTTCAAACAGAATTTATCTCAGGGATGCAAAGATGGTTTAGCATAGGCAAATCAATAATGATGACACATCACATTAACAAAATGTACAGAAATCATTCAATCATATTAATAGATGCACAAGGATCATTTTACAAGATTCAACATTCAATTATGATGAAACTCTCAACAAAGTGGTAAATAGGGAATATATCTTAACATAATAAAGACCATAGAAGACAAGTCCACAGCTAACTTCGTACTCAATGGTGAAAAGCTGAAACCATTCCCTTTAAGATTAGGGACAAAACAAGGATGCCTACTCTTGCACTTTTATTCAACATAGTATGGAAGTCCTAGTTGGAGCAATTAAGAAAAAAAGAAAAAAAAGGCATCCACATTTGAAAGGAAGAAGTGTTATACTATTTAGAGAGGACATGAAAGTATATATTGAAAATCTAAAAAAGTCCCACTCAAAATGTTAGAACTAATAAACAAATTCAGTAAAATTTCAGAATCAGTACACAAAAACCTGTTGTGATTTGATACACTAATAACAAAGCATCAGGAAGAAAAGTAAGGAAACAGTCCCATTTACAACTGCAACAAAAAGAATAAAACAGTAATAAATTTAACCAGGGAGATGAAAGTCTTCTACACTGAAAACTATAAGACATTGATGAAAGAAATTTAAGACATAAAGATTGACCAAGAATCACTGCTTTTCTTGTTGTACTCACCCTTCCTGGGGGATTTCATCCAGCCTCAATTTTTTTTTAATAGTTTAAAAATGACTTAAAGTTTTATATCTGATGCTTTCTAAATTAAAATATCCAACCTTGAGGTCTCTGCAAAAGCTCAGACTTTCATATCCAATGGTCTCTGGGCATCTGTGCTGGGTGAGAAACAAACCTATTCCCAGAAACTCCTGTGTAGACAAATGCAGCAGTTTCCCAGTGCCTGGTGATGATTCCACATATTACCTAAAAATACTCATTGATCTCACAATATCACTGATAGTGGGGAAGTATATGTGTGCAAGCTCACTCAATTGTGCCTGATTCTTTGCAACCCCATGGACTGCAGCCTGCCAGGCTCTTCTGTCCATGGAACTTTCCAGGCAAGAATATGGGAATGGGTTGGCAGTTCCTGCTCTAGGGGATCTTCCTGACCCAAGGATCGAACCCATGTCTCCTGCATCTCCTGCATTGGCAGGTAGATTCTTTACCACTGACCCACCTGGAGTTACATGTGCTGAATATTTTAGACATTCACCAACCTTGAATACACAGAGTACATGAGTTTAATAAGCCCTGTTAAATTTGGGATAGTGTCCTGAGCTTAATCCCTGAGGTGTTTCATAGGCCTCAAGGAGTCCATATTCTTTGATGCCATATGTATACCACCACCACCAAAAAACCCAGTCAGGCAAACTCTATTTCTAGAATGGTATTACACTTGCCTCAGGTGAAGCTTTTTATGAAAAATATTTTTGTAGCAACAAAAAGGATGAAAAGCTTAGGCTTCATCTTTCTTAAAGAACGGGTTGCACGACTGCATTGTGTCTTTGC